AAGAGAGAAAGAAGACACTTTCGATAATTAAAAAAAAATGATAATGCTGTCCAATTTATTTATTTTTTTGATGGTTTGTATATATATTTCTAAAGTAATAGCAAATAAAAAGAAGTATTAAAAATGTATTGAAATTCCTTAAAATTGAGCGAAAATAACCATACATCGAATAGAACGGGCTTACACTATCTTAAAAAAAATTTTTTTAATACTTTCACTTAATGAAAAAATTTTTTTCTACATTAATTCTGATGTGTATATAATTTATCTACAAAACAAAAGTATCCGTACAAAAATAGCATCATTTTTGCAGAAGTTATTAATTAATCGCCGCTAAATCAGCCGTTTCGCCCACTGTGCACCCCTGCCCCACACAGTCCACTTGCCCCTTGTGCTCCTTGCAACGGCCTGCTCGTTGATGTGGAAGAGCCAGCGACAGCAAATGGGGAGTTGATAACGTAGGACCCAAAGGCAGAATAGATGTCATTCACGTGCTGGAATTTAGGATATCCTGTATAAAGGCTGTATCTATATCTGTATCTGTATCTGTATCTGTATCTGTATCTGTATCTGTATCTGTATCTGTATCTGTATCTGTATCTCTATCTGTATCTGTATCTGTATCTCTATCTGTATCTGTATCTGTATCTGTATCTGTATCTGTATCTGTATCTGTATCTGTATCTGTATCTGTATCTGTATCTGTATCTGTATCTGTATCTGTATCTGTATCTGTATCTGTATCTGTATCTGTATCTGTATCTGTATCTGTATCTGTATCTGTATCTGTATCTGTATCTGTATCTGTATCTGTATCTGTATCTGTATCTGTATCTGTATCTGTATCTGTATCTGTATCTGTATCTGTATCTGTATCTCTATTTGTCTTTAGATCTTTTCATGTCAAATTTCTATAGGACTTTTTTCTTGTAAAAGTAATTTCTTAAAAAATTTAAACAGAATTTCCTAGAAATTGATTCGTGTTTCTTTTGCATAATACACGGGAACTGTTGGGACAAAGTATCTAGCAAATATTATTCTTACCACAAGCAGCTCTCCAGCCCGGCTCGTGTCTGTTGAGGCTTCGCCGCCCGCACAATTTTTTATCGCACTCTTGTCTTTTAGTTATTGCTGCTTGCTTTGCTCTTTGCTGGCGCGTTTTGCCTCGGCCATTTGCATGCCGAATCAAAAGTTGCTTTGATAAGTATGTTTTAGGGAGACCATCAACTGCCGGCTGTCCGCAGCCAGCTTGCGCTTGCCTCGCCTCGCCTTGGCCTGGCACGGCTTGGCTGGGCTGGGCTTGGCTTGAAAAATTTTGGCATTGCGGCTCATTTGCTGCTTTCCCACGGCGTGTCTTCTAGTGGGTGCAAATAGTTGTTGGCACTTCGAGGCGTATCTGACACCAGAAAGTCGACCCTCTTTGCCGAGCTCCACGGCGCCGTGTCAAGTGTCTGCATAATTTGATTGCCTGGCTAATTCGAGAGCGAGCACGAGAGCTGGGGTGGGGGTGGAATCGTTGCCTGTCGACTGTCAGGTTAATAATTCACACATTTCTCGAAATCTGCCCCGCCCACGTAATAACATGTCCCCCTAGCGCCCTTCAATCGGGCATTGAGCCGGCACTTCCGGTCAAGTCTCTGTCCCCCACTCTCACACCCACTCCAGCTCCCATTCCAACTCCAACTCCAACTCAATTTCCATCTCTTCGTGTGGCTGTGTGCTTAGCTGTGTTCACCGGCGCGTGTGTTGCCTGTAAATTGGCGCATTTGGCTTGCCAACACATTCCACACGCTGCATTTCAATCATCATTGTTTTGTTAACACAAGCACACACACACACACACACACACACACACCATCGTACTCACCATGACACACAGAGCACAGCCTACGCCCAGCACTTTGTGCCATCTGATGCCATCAGCCACAAGCCGCGGAAATGGACACGTCTTTGGCTAAACAATAGCCAAAATATTCACAGCTGCTCCTAGACACATGTACAGTGCTCACCCACTAGCCTGAACGTGCAGCAAAACAAGCTTCGCTAGAGAATTTTCATTTGTCTGATATCGCACATGTCTGGAAACACATAGACAGCTAAATTGTTGAATATATTTTATGGATAGTTTTCAGTTATCAAATAGTTAAATGGAATGCCCCAATCAGCTATCAACGTTCTGAGTACCTAACTCAATTGATCTATCAATCGATGAGTAATTAGTCTGTATGTCAATCAAGCAATCAATCAGTCCATAAAATAATCAGCTAAGCAGCCAGTTGCTTAATTAATGGGAGTACGGCACTCTGTCAATCTGTGAATCAATCTGCTTGGTCAACTGATTGACTGCTTATTTCCGTCGTCGAATCAATCAATAAATCGATCCATCAGTTAGTCAATCAATTATTCAATAGCAATCTGTCAATCAGTCAGTATACTTTTGTCTGTTAATCTATCGATTAAACAGTCTCTGAACTAACCAGTCAGTCAATCAATCAATTTGTCCCTCAATCAGTCAATCAGTCTATGACAAGCCAGTCTATGTCTTTCAATCAATGATTCATCAGAAATGCTTTTCTAAGAACAAATCAAAAATATCCAAGTCATCTCAGTTTTCACCACATGCCATAGCTGAGATACTCTCTGCACATAGAGTGCATCTAAGATGGATGCGAAGTTGAATAAATGTTTTCATCACTTGATTTGTTGACTACACACAGTTTTTGCTTCGCCCCACTCCACTTTGTTTCATTTTTTTTTTTTTGTTCATATCGGCTTGACGATGCTCGGCATGCACAGCATGTAGCCATTTTGCATTGTCAATCAACTGTGTGTGTTAGTGTGTGTGTGTGTGTGTGTGTGTGTGTGTAGGAGATGTGGAAATCGAAATGGTAAATGGCTGCAGATTATCAGTTTCATTCATAATATTTACTCAATTATGCGGCAATAAACGCGACCCCAACTTTGGTCAATAAAAATGAAACGTGTGCCGCATCGCAAATCAAAAATGTGTAGAGCCAATGGCTGCCAACACACACACACACCCACACTGGTGTATATACATATCTATACATACATATATATATGGACTTTCATTTTAGATACCCTTTTGAGGCTTCTCTTTGGGCAATTGTTATGGCCAGATACTTGATGACTTTTGCTGAATTTGCACTAGTTCCAAAGCGACTCTGTGTGAGTGTGAGCGTGTGTGCGTGTCTGTGTGTCTGTGTGTCTGCGTGTCTGTGTGTGTGTGCTGCGACACGAAACGCATAAAACCACATGCCTAATTTCCATGTGGCTAATACGGCCTGGCCCAGTTCGGCCCGGCTCGGCTCGTTCTGGCTCGGCTCGGGCCCGCCCAAACCTCAGCCAGAAATGTTTCGCAGCTTGAGGTCTCGAATATTTCGTGCAGTGTATGCAAATTATGCAATTATTATCAATTTTGTGCAAAATTAGCAAATACATTTTTGTGGCCAATAATTGCAAAGGCGTCGGCAGCGGCAGCGGCAGCGACATCGGCCCACAGCCAGCCCCCACCCGCCGCTGCTGGCCACTGAAGGTTCTACAGAGTTTGCGGCTGCCAAAAGGAAATCAAATTAAAAACTTTAAGCTGGCAAATATTTGCACTTAAATGTGGCTGAGGGCAACTTTTATATCGGCCCTGGAGCCGGTTGCGGTGGGTCGCAAAAACTTAGAGTCGTAAATTTGATGACAGCAACAACAACAACAACAACAACAACAGCAGCAGCAGCAGCAGCAGCAGTAGCAGTGAGTGGCAAATTAGAGTCGAACGTCATTATTATGGACATCATCAGTCCACGCGGCGGCAGCAAACAAAGTACCAACTGTTTCAATATTACGCATACGCCACGTCTAGCTGACGGCGGCTGGCCCAGTCCCCGATTGATTTGCGGCCCCGTCTTGACATTGGCCATAAAGGCAGGAAGAAAGTGAACTGAGTTGGGTTTGAGTTGCAGTAGGTGTCTTGGCCTGTGTAATGGCAAACCGAGCAAACAAACCAACCGACAGGGCAAATACCCACACACACACACACACACAGAGAATGAGAGACAGACACACGTACACGCAGCGAAATGGCCAAGTTAAGAGCGCAGACGACAACGCCCGCTTTTGGGTAGTCAAACTAAGTCAAACAGCAGCTAACCAATAAGAGTGCGAGTACGCACACACAAACACAGACAGACAGACACACACACGCACGCACGCACACACACACACATGCGCTCACATGCTGAAAGCAATATAAATTGCGCTAAAATACGCATACGCACTGTGCGCGGCCGCTGTGCGAGCTGCGCTGCGTGAGTTTTGATTGAAGCCAAAATGTCTGCGACTGCTGCGAGGGCTGCACAACAAGCAATAATTAAAAGCGGCAAGCCCCAAATGTGTGTGTGTGTGTGTGTGTGTTGGCTTGGCCTGCCAAATTTGGCTCCTCAATTCGTGTCTCTTCTGCAATTGCAAACATAAATTCACAGTTATATTTTTGAAACAATTTTTTTTCACCTACTTTTCATTGCTATCTTTGCCGTTTCTATTTGACAAGTTTCTTGTCTACAAAATTTGCTCTGCTAATCTAGAATAGATTGAAAATGTGTATTCAGAGCAACAATTTGAAAATTTCTCTCTTAGCTCCTAGATATAATATAACATATTCTTCCACTAGAACTCTGTCTTTTACTCTGCTTATTTTCAAGATCCTCTTTCGACTTGCTATTCGAAATCTTCTCGTTTGTCGACTCTATGCAGAGGACACAAGAGTCTTCTCGCTCTCACTAGGCAACAGCTGGAGCTCTCACATTCAGCAACAACTATAGCTGTCTCTCTCCTACAGACAATACAGCCCTTAATTGTCACTAAAATGCCAATTCACTCGGGTATTACAAAGTGGCCGTAATATCTGTCTTAGTAACTGTAACTACCACAACGTCATAATATCACACCCATACGATCTTCTCACAGATGCAAAGTTGAAAGACATTGGATTAGTTTTTTTTTTAATACGCCGAGACCATTTCTACTTTATTTAACTAAAAAACAATTAAATATTTAATTTAGAATGCAAGTGAAAGAAAGGAAACTCAATTAAAATTTGGAATAGACATCGATAAGGCAGTACGCGGTCTCTGGGCTTAAGTTCTTTTCTTTTGTTTGTTTTGCTTGATTTGCTTGATTTGCTTCGTTTGCTTGGATTTCGGCTTTCCAATGGGCTGAATGGAACGCTTGGCCCGAGGGAGGGGCTTCTTATTAGTCTTCTTCGCGTAACGACGCTTGGGAGCCGGGACAAACTTGGCCTTGTTGCGACCAACAAGCAAGGCTGGCTTGGATCTCTTGGCCTTTGGCTTCTTCTGCTTTGGTTTCTTGATGGCCTTCATTTTGGCATCATTGGTTGTATTAGCTTGATCGCCAGTGGCCTCTGCATCAGGTCCCTTCTTCCCCTGCTTACGCTCATTAGCCTTTGGACGCTTGCGTGCCAGACGCTTCGGCTTAGCTTTAGCATCGGCCTTGGCCTTCTTTTTGAGCATCTTGGCAGCCTCTACCGGCTCGACGCCTACAGTCTCCGGAGCACCTTTCTTGGATCGCTTCACAATGCCCTTGATATTGCGCCACCATAAGGCACCTTGAGGCTGCATGTGAAGAGATCTACTGTAATTGAGCTCTGGCATTAGATTAATGATGTGTTTCACCTTTACAGCCGCGACGGTCTCAGTAGCTGTAGTGGCCGGAGCACCGGATCCGGCAACTTCTGCGGCAACTTCTGCGCCAGCTCCTGCTGGTGCCTGCTCCTCTGCAGCTGTCTCCACGGCTTGTTCCACATCTGGTTCTAGTGCTCGCTCCGGCTCCGGTTCCGGCTTTGGCTCTGGTTCTGGTTCTGGCTCTGGTTCTGGTGGCGGTTGTGCTTGTGGTTGTGGTTGTGGCTCTGGTGCAGCCTCCATCTCCACATCAGCATCTGCAGTTGTTTCACCCTTGTCCACGTCGTCACTGCCCTGCTCAGCATTGGTGTTAACGGTTTCATTCTGTTCTTCAATTACGGTTTCAGCATTATCTGGCTCGTTGGTTGCGTCCCCGATGCGACGGATCTGGCGAGGCGGTGCGAACTCGCGCTCAATTGCGTCGCCCGGTTCATGCTGGCGCTTTACCCCCTTTCTGGGCTTATCACGACAGCCATCGATAGGGTGGTTCAATATGCTCATAATGGTGCCCATTACTTTTGGCATCTAGCTGTAAGAATATTGGTGTGACTTCAGAAAATGTAACAATTGATTTGATTTGATGAGCTGTATTTCTCGTTCTCATCTGGAGATCGAGTTGAATGGGCTGCTTGACTTGGAAAAGCTTCTATCTTTTTTGCTCTAATCTTTCTTCTATCCTCTCTTAAGACAACCAAATTGAAGACTATGCAGCCCTGGTTCATTGTGCCAAGAGGCGACAAGAAGTCAGCAAGAAACCATATGAGGCTAGGGCGGGGTTTGTGGAGGCTTTTGGATGGAGGCAAGGAATTGATGTGCTCATAAGCACAGACAAACGCGCTACGCAGCGGGACGGATGTTTGGGTAAATGGGTTAAAGGGAGAAGAGTAGAGGAGGAGAGGGAGACGAGGGAGAGTAGGGCTATTGCTATGGCAGGGGCGTGGTGGATAGCTAGACGCATAGACGAAGCCAAAACCAAAACAACGTTAACGATATGCCAAACGTATGTAGGCCAACAACAGTAATGCGCGGGAGATGATGTGGAAGAAGCAGAAGTAGAAGCAGAAGAAGCAGTTGCCAGTGGATAAACAACAAGAAGAAGACCACACATAACCTGCAAAGCAGTCGAAGCAGCGAGAGCGGAGAAGTGGCTGGTGAGGCAGGACAGTGGACACAGTGGGTAACTGAGTATGATTATGATTACACTGATGATGATGATGAAAGGGAAAAGTTAGCTTGAGCAAGGCAAAGGGGTACGACTAGCAGATGCCCTGTGACCAGCCGTGTGAGCTTCTACAGAGAGTAGACAAAAGTTGATCATGCTGCGATATCGATATTTAATGATGGTATGGATAGTGGTGCACGAGTTATCGATAAGCAACTATAGGTGGATTCAAGCAGTCAGAGCAGACGCTGCATGGTCAGACAACCAAGATACCCCGCATGCTGTTCACGCTCATTTGAAATGCATGAAAATACATTTTCACAAAGGCAAACAATAAGACGTTTGCTTCTTTGGACTTGTTTCGATAACAATATTTGTTAGGACTCTCCCGACTCGAACTCAAAAACTGAAACTCAAACTGAAACTGACAACTCTTTTCACATGCTAGCAGGGGTTGGCGCGCAGGGGCGGGCGCTGGAGCCCCAACGCGCAGGAAGCTAAAAACGTTTTTTGACGTGGGAAGCTCGATTGGTGCTGCCAATAAATAAACATTTCAAAAGTTCCTCAATGAATAATGCCACAAGCCCTGAGCATGGGCGACTATAAACAGGCGGGCATATCGGAAAAGACTTCGTATTCTTCTTCTTCTTCTACTGCTCTTCCTCGGCCAGATAGAAATCTTTGCGGCCAGGCGAGTGCAGGGGAGGGCATGCGGATCACAGGAAATGTGAAACCCTTGTCTAAGCAGCTATTTATTATTTAGCTAGCTATCTGATTGCCATTATGAGTGTCATTAATAAAATCATGGTAATTTGATATGCTCTACTTACATATTCAAAGATTCAATTACCACGGATAGAGAAAGTCGGGAAGAACTCCACAAATATACAGTTGGGTTCAGCTATATGTGAGTAAAAAAAGAGTTAGTTACCATGTGCATATATACATATATATGTTCAATGATTACCTGCAGATAATTTATCCTTTGGATGGATATTATTCAATATACTTAAGACGGGTGTAGTTCCACAAAGATACAGATGAGTTCAGCTATACGTGAGTAAAAGGATTTACGTCATTAGGACTTTGCGTCATTAGTAATATCATGGTATACTTACATGTATATAAGATGATTAACTGAAGATTATTTCTGTCATTTGAATGGATATTATTTAATATGCTTAAGTCAACAATAATTCCACAAAGATATAGATGAGTTCAGCTATGTGTGAGTAAAAGAAGATTTATTTATCATGTGCGTCATTAATAATAGTATACCATGATATTATATATTGAGTGATCACCTGAAGATACTATCCGCGTTATGGAAATAAGAATACTTGGGCAAGAGAAAACAATTTAAGTGAATGTTTTATATAAAAAAATTTGTTTTTAAATTTGATCAAAACTATTTGTGTATAAATGTATAAATGTTTGATGTTTTCGTGTTTGTTAAAAAATGAGACTAAGCCTATGCAGTTCCTATTGAAAAGTACAAGGATTTTTGACATTGCTTATTTTTCTGAAATCTGAGTCAAAGCCTATTCAGTTCCCATTGGGATCGATTTACAGTTGTTTTCGGTATATCCTTGACTGTAAAGTCAAGCTAAATATTGAAGCCTTTGATGGAGCATTACCCTAAGGCTGTTGCCGTTCTCATTGGGATTCGAGCCGGAGACGGTTTTTCCAAGTTGTTTTCATGCTCTTCAAGGTTCGATTTTGACTTTCTATTTGTTATTCGTTGCACTACTTTATTGATTAAACATTAGCCTTTGGCATTTCATTTATTTTATTTTGCTACCCAACGGGACTCGAGCCAGTGACAACTTGTTTGGGAGACTCTTAAGAGAGACAGATAGAGAATGAGAGAGAAAGTTTCAAGTAGCAATGCACTTGAATGCGGCGCAGAGTGCCTGTGTTGTGTGTGCGTGTATGTGTGCGAGTGTGTGCCGGAGATCATATGAGATGAGATTTTTGGCTGTTGAAAGCAGGTAGAGATGGAGCTGAGGCAGCAGGCGAGGATGTCAACACAGCTGCCGATTGAGTTGTATGCGAGAATTGGGGCCAATGTCAGTGCGTTTCCTGGGTAACTGCAGCCACACATGAAACGGCAGCCAGTGATAAAGAGTGTGAAAGAGAGAGAAGGAGTGAGAGAGAGAGATGCTGAATCCTCTCGTTTAGGGATTTAATTAAAATGTCAGCAAGAGCATGGCACAAAAACTGGGTTATGGGTGTTAAAAGTGAGCCAAAGTTTCGTTGCTTGACGAACTGAAGCTGCGGCAGTTTCTCAGTCGCTGAGCAAGAAAAAGTAGGCGAAAAATGCATGCGAATGGGCAGCTGCCCGACTGGGAGACCGGCAGACTCTGCCCGGAGCTTAGCTGGGGCGACACCTGCAGCGCCACGGCACAAAGCAGTCATTAAATTTTTGGACGTGCCGAGCGCCAAACTAAATACACAAATGAGTGGGGGAGACACGGAGATTTGTTGCTGGTTGATTGAAAAATAATGAAATTTATATCCGCCCCGCTCCTTTCCGCCACACGGCGGCAAGTGAGTTGCTTAATATGAGGCAGGCCAGCAAGACATAGGCAAATATTGCGTATACGCTGCGTAAGCCGTTTTATCTTGTGCACACGTTCAAGTCTCCGTCTCACCCGGCCCCTCCACCAGCCCTCCCTCCTCTCTCTCACACTCACTATGTGCGGCAGTTAATTATGACAATTACATGGCAATCGATGCTGCATTTATGATATCGCCTCTCGCCTTGAAATCCATTTAACAGCGCATAATTCATTTAAGCAGCGCATTTGATGAGGCCACTGCAACAACAACAACTACAGCTGCTGATTGCTGATAAGATCCGCTGCGTCACTTTAACATTGCTACCCACAAAATTAATTCTATAGCTATCATATAATTGTTAATTGCATCGCATTGTTTTAGCGCTGAGCTGAACGTGCTACACATACATATATAGCTGGCTATCCATGAGTGACGACAGTTGACAGCTGCAGCTCTGGCTCTGGCTCAAACGAGATTGCAGTTGACGAGCTTAAGTCATCAGAAAAGTTAATGTTTTTCACTCGATTTAAGGCTGGATAACAGTGCGCATAGATGCTCTTATAGAGCGCCAGCTCTCCATAGATAATACGTGGATCTTAATCCCTAACCTTACACAAATACATACATACACTATACATGCATATGTACTTATATATTCTTATATAATTTGAGATGGTTTATACTTACATATCTACTGAATCCGCCGGAGAATATTTGAGTCGGGAAAATTTCAACAAAGACACAGATGAGTGGGGCTAATTGTGAATAAATGGGATTTACTATGATAATTTGATAATTTGATATAATCTACTTACATATATATTCAGCTGAAGATTGTATCCGCCTATATACGAATGGATATACGAATATTTGAGAAAAAACTTTGGGAGTGAGTTTTTTGATATTGAAAAAATAAAAAAAAAGTTTAAATTTTATAAAAATTATTTGTGTATACGTTTGATGTGTTTCATGTTTGTTAAAATATAAGTCTAAGCCTATTCAGTTCCTATTGATGATATGTTTACTTCTGACATATAAGTCAAAGCCTATTCAGTTCGCATTGGGAAAAGTAAACATTTTGATAATACAATGATGGATAAGTAACAAATTGTTTTGTATTATCTGGTGAAAAGCATATCGCTTAGATATTACTTATTGTTGTTTCGCCTCTATGCATATCTATATCATTTTTTATTTGTTTGTTTTTCTATATCCTACTTTTTCAAAAGGTTAAAATACAACTCCTTTTGTCTTTGGAGCTTTCTCTCTCTCTCTCTCTCTCTCTCTCTCTCTCTCTTGCTCTCTCTCTCTCTCTCTCTCTTGCTCTCTCCAGCTCTATCCTTACTTCAACTCTTAGGATGTCATCCAATCACATAATAATTAATTCATTCACTCGTAGTAGCCAAACACTAGCATGGGAATTTTATATGATCTACTCAGATATATGTATATGCAATTATCTCCTGACGATCGTAACCCAACTTTCGCAAAGTTATTATTAAATATTTTTAAGTCGGAAACAAATTCCAGTCACAGATGGGTTCAGCTATATGCGAGCAAAAAGATTTATTTACCATGTGCGTGTTTAATGACGACCTGAAGATTGTATCCGCCTATATATGACTGGATATACGAATATTTGAGTAAACGATTTGTGAGTGAATTTTTGATATTGATTTTTTTTTTTTAACTTTTTGTGTATAGATTCTTGATGATTATAAGTCAAAGCCCATTCTGTTCCTATTCAGAAAAGTACCCAATTTTCTTGTTCTATCTGTTGTGATTGGATACTTACATATCGTTTAGATATTACCTATTGTTGTTTCACTTCCTTTTATATCTTATCATTTTCATTTTTCAGATTTCTTTAAAGGTTAAAATACATCTATATATATTTTTGTATCTCTCTCTGTGTCTCTCTCTCTCTCTCTCTCTGTCTCTCTCTCTCTGTCTCTCTCTCTCTCTTTCTCTCTTGCTATCTTTCTACTTCAACTCTAAGGATGTAACCCAATAGCCGGGTAATTTGATATGATCTACTTACATAAATATTCAATTATCTCTTGAAGATCATAATCCAACATTCGGATAGATATTATTTAATATATTCAAGTCGGAAAAATTCCACAATTACTTCAGCTATTTGTGAATAAAAGGATTAATTTACTATGTGTTTCATTGATATTACTATAGTTCTTGGATATTATCTACTTACATATGTATTCATATATGCATTCAAAATTATAACCGTTCTTAGATCATGAACCTAAAAAATATATGCAAAATACATATATATATAAATATAATATGTATTTGTGAGTAAATTTTTTATGATTATTTTATAAAATGTAGTGAGCAAAACTATTTGTGTGTAGACTTCAGATGTTTTGCTTTTACAAATGAGTCAAAGGCTATTCATTTTATATACATACATATGTGTGTAGATTTTTGATGTTGCTCATTTTTCTGAAATCTGAGTCTATTCATGCACATGCATGAACATAGAAATATGATAAGTATGGGAACATACCCTCTACGCACTTAACAGCTAGCATACATAAAATAGATAATATATGTGGCAAGTGTGAACTGTCAGACTAGAATAAATATGACTCTGACCCTTAGCGACAGGAATATGTAAGAGACGAACGCCAAGCCTTACAACCTCAGCGATAGGATAAGAATAGCTAATAGACCCACGCGGAGCCTTACAAACTCAGCGATAAGATAAGAATATGTAACAGACCAATGCTGAGCCTTACACACTCAGCAATAGACGCACTAGATTTAAGGGTTGAAATTATGCATGAGTCTGGGTATATAAACCCAGGCTCAGAAGAATAAAGATTAATACGCAACTAAACACCATCATAGTCAAGTGTATTCGTTCAGAGTCAATTGCCTCTCAGTCCCCATGGAGAAAAAGTAAACCATACAATCTGTTACTTGTCATAATCTTCGAGATATTATTTGAAATCTTAATATCGCTAATTGCACCTAAGTCTCTTTTGAGCTCTATCGAGGACTCAGTCTACGTTGTATACCTACATTTTTAGGTCTATATATACATATTGCTCTGCCTCAATATATATATTTATATATTGCTGACAGCATGTCGTCACATGTTTACTACTTTGCTATGCCTTCTTTGAGAATATCTATATATCTTTCTTTATTGCCCAATTTCTATTTAAAATCCTTTTGCTATCCCTGTGTTGCTTCCCCCTTTGCCTCTTTTTAGCCTTAAACGTGTCTATGGCTCTATTAACGATACACTTGCCCATCTTCTTCTTCTTCTTGTAGTTCTCCCCATAATGGTTATGATAATTGCATTGCCTACTTTTCGGCTCCTGCAAATAGCTTTGACGCCATTTTTTGTAGGCAGCTGGTTTTGACTTTGACTTGGCCTCTCTCGCTTTGCCTTCGACTGTGTGCCAAGATTTTCTTTTCCGTTTTGCCAATTACCAAGCATTACCTTTTCAAACCAGCCAAGTTGCCCTCAAAAAGTAATGCTATTCTACATAGCAGCCTTTAATACTCTCTAAATTTGATCGAAAATCTCATTTTCGTGAGCTGAAGAGAAAAGAGAATCGTAACCTCTATGTTTTCTAATACTAAAAAAACGATTGTTCTATGTTTTTATGTTAGCATTCTTACGTTATAGCAACAATATCTATTCCAGATTAGTTGTAATTATGAAGCTAAACTAAGCTAAGTAAGATTTTGAATGTATTTCGGATTCTTATTGCTAATTCTTGTTAATTTTTTACACATATATCTCTTCATTCGATTGAATGCCACATCTAAGGCTTTTAACTCTATGTTAGAGCATTGTACAGCAAACTCGCTGCTATGCAACTATCTCTTTTCTTTTGTCCTTTTGTCTCTTTCGGGCGTCTGCGTTTTTGTCTATGGACTTGCTTACTGTCAACTGGCATTAAAAAGGCAAAACAAGAGGCAGAAAAAATGCAAACGTATTGCGAAATTGCAGCAGGTAAAATCAACAACACGGGCAACAACAGCAACAACAACAACAACAACCTGAAGCAACCTGCAGCAAAAGTTTTTTTCTATTGATATTGCGGTTGTTGTAGCTGCCTTGCCTTGCCTGTTACATATTTGTGGGCATTATTGTTATTGCAGTTGCTGCTGCTCTTGTTGCTGTTGTTGTTGTTGTTGTCAGACAAACAAGCGACAGCAAGAGCAACAGCAACAGCAACAACAACAACCTGTGGCAACGGCAACTTTAGTCGTGATTTTAAGCAATGCCAAAAAGTAGGCAACAAGAAAGCGAATGTCACATGTGTGTGAGCATATATATATGTGTGTGTGTGTGTGTATATATGTGAAGTCAACTGCTGTTGCCATTGTTACTGTTATTGCTGCTGTTGCTGCTGCTGCTGCTGCTGTTGCCGCTGGCTGCAGCGATGCCAAAGCTAAAGCGGAAACGGAAGCGGCCAAGCTGCCAACTTGCACTTTACACTCTGCTTCTTTCTGCTCTCTGGGCCAAGCAGCAAACAAAAAAGGATGACAACAAAAACAACAGTATATAATGCCAGCACACATACAAGCATAGGCAAACAACAATAGAAACATGGCCCGCAAACAGTTTACACCACATGCCCATTGTACTTTTTCGCGTATTTTCAACGTCTATTTTCGTACAGCTTCTTTTTCTCACTTTTTTTTGGAATGCTCAATTTTGCTTCGTTTAAAATTGGAAAAACACGTTAGCAAACGATATGAGTATAAGAGTGTACGAGTATAAGCGTAATAAAGTAGAAGAATAGAAGAACCGAAAAAAAGAAGAGCGCAATAGAAGACTCGAAGAATAGAAGAGTATGAGCGTATTAGAATAGAAGAAGAGCATAAGGGTAGAAGAGAAAAACAAATAAGACTAAGCATTGATAGTCTCCCAGTTCTTAAGATAAAGAGTATAAGAGCACACGAGCATTGAAGTAGAGCAGTCCGAGAACCTATACCATAGTACTGTATATGGACATGATGCCACCAGACAGTAGTATTTGATTCCACACTTAAAAATTACTTCCAAGTGTTGCAAAACCCACTTGGCAGCTGCATTAGGACATAGAAGCTGCCTTCTGACGGAGACCAAACAAAAACTTCGCACTTTGCACTGATTTTTATATAGACTTAGGGGGCTTTTGGTTTGGCAGCAAACGAAACAATAAGCTGACAAAGTGACATTGAAAACAACAACTGAATGCGACACAGGCTGCATGAGAGCGAGCGAGAGAGAGAGAGGGAGAAGGAGAGGGAGAGACAGAGAGAGAGAGCGAGGGATCGGGTGCATGTGAGCTGTGACAATTGAATGAATGAACGGGCGTTGCAAACTTGACGCCGAAAAATGATGCCAAGTGGTAACAAGTCCGAAGAGGCAGGCCGGGGCAGGGGCGTGGCACTGGAGGGAGGGAAACGCTGCCGGACTGGATGGTCATGAGTTATGGCCTGTGGTCATGTGGCGCATGTGGCGCCAGAGCAGGCTTCAACTCCGCCCCAAGACTGGAACTAGAGGCTGTAGTAGGGGGGGTGGGCCTTTCTGAAAGGGCGGTTGGGGAGGGAGCTAAAAATGAAAAGTGAATGTCGCAATGCCAATGCGATTGCAATTGTGAAAGTTAAATTGAATGCGTTGCGACAATGTTTGGCCGTTGGTGGGGCGACAGCCTTCGGCTTTTGGCTAAAGTTTCTTTCTTGTTTTCCATTTTTATTTGTATTTTTTTTTGGAGTTCAAGTACTTCAGCTGCATGTTAAGTAATTGGAGCGGCAGCAGTCGTAAATGATGGCTACAATAAGCGTGACAAAGGCCACGAAATAAAGCAGTTGATAAAGATGTTTAAGAGGAAACCAACTCGAAAAAGGACAGAATTCCAGCTGCAAACTAAATTTAAATATGATTTAATATAAAAAGATATGCCTAGTAAAGCAGTCGAAAGCAGAAGAGGACAAATATATCATTACTCATTACTCATTACTCATTACTCATTACTCATTACTCATTACTCATTACTCATTACTCATTACTCATTACTCATTACTCATTACTCATTACTCATTACTCATTACTCATTACTCATTACTCATTACTCATTGCTCATTGCTCATTGCTCATTACTCATTGCTCATTGCTCATTACTCATTACTCATTACTCATTACTCATTACTCATTACTCATTACTCATTACTCATTACTCATTACTCATTACTGATTTTTCATTACTCATTACTCATTACTCATTACTCATTACTCATTACTCATTACTCATTACTCATTACTCATTACTCATTACTCATTACTCATTACTCATTACTCATTACTCATTACTCATTACTCATTACTCATTACTCATTACTCATTACTCATTACTCATTACTCATTACTCATTACTCATTACTCATTACTCATTACTCATTACTCATTACTCATTACTCATTACTCATTACTCATTACTCATTACTCATTACTCATTACTCATTACTCATTACTCATTATTCATTATTACTCATTACTCATTACTCATTACTCATTACTCATTACTCATTACTCATTACTCATTACTCATTACTCATTACTCATTACTCATTACTCATTACTCATTACTCATTACTCATTACTCATTACTCATTATTCGAGACTTATTACTCATTACTCATTACTTATTAGCTATGTACATCATTGTCGCTATACTTTTAAGGGATCGAATCTGCTGCGTTAATAAAGCTACAGTCTCCATATATGTACATATGTAGTTTGAGTATTATTCTCGTGTTTCGAGGTGTTTCTTTTTCACGCTCTTCACAATTTCGCAGCTCATGCAAAGCTTTATTGAAAAGCGAAACAAGAAATTGGTAAGCAGAGAAAATGGCATGGAACGAGTGTCTCAACAAATGAATAAATCAAATGAAGTGAAGTGAATGAAGGGAACGAACAATGAACAAGTCCAATCAATGGGCTAAAGCTGAAAGTCAGATAGAGGGAGCGAGAGGACTGATGCCTCTGAGTGTGAAAGGGACCCCAAGTTTGCCTCGGTGTGTGTGTGTGCAGGTAAAAGCAAACAACAAATAAATTTGATAGGAAAATCCGTAAAACTAACTCGCTTAATAACTCGCACTTGAGTGGCAAACGCAAACACAGTCGCTGCTCGAGTGCCAAGCAAAACTTTTTTACTATTTTTTCGACTGACCAACTGGCTAGTTTTCCAACACTAGCACATACGCACACACACACACACATATGTACTACTACTA